GTATTTCAGCGAACTTGATAAGCTGAAACAAGAAGCTAATACAAAAGTTTGCAAGTTGACAGTAGATAACGTTACCACGGTCTCGGCTTTCTTCAGAGCTTGGAGCACACTAACGTGTAGCTTCGTTCAAGAAATTTGAGCAAACTGGGCAGTCTCTGGTTCGATTCCGTGCCCTGGGCTAACTAAGCCTTCCATCCATCGGCAAATTAATTTCACGTATTAGGCCGTCTTATGTCATTGTTTGAGACAGGAATGCATATAACCGCTTTCATGATGAATCGAATGCACGGCGCATCTTGAAGGATTAATCACACTGGATGCTTTACCCTTCATTCTTCATCCGGCAAAACTCGCAGTGTAAACTTCAATCATATTATTTTCGTGAGTACAATCTTTTTATTCACCTTTTTAGACAGTGAGGCCACTTGCTTAGAGTTCATGACAAAGAGGGTGCAAGTAATAGTAAAAGTATGAGGTACGAGGCTCCCTCAAATCAGAAAAGCCTGAGATATGGCAACTGTGATGTGGTGGTGAAATGTCCATCGTTCCATCGCAGGTTTGAACTATTATGAATTGATCCAAAACGCATGTCTTTTTTTATGGACCCGATACCGAAGGTGGTCTCGTGCACTCGAAAGGTGGGACAGCAGAAGAACGATGCTGAGAAGATCTCCGAAGAAACATTAAGTTTTCAGAGGAAATGCTATCACATATTGAAAAGAGAATGATTATACTTCACAAAAGCTTGCAGCACTTTTTGATCACAATGATTTCATGTGACACTGGAAGAAGATTTTCACCATCTAAGTAGGTTTCTTTTCCACATAAGGTATCCATGATTGTCTGAAAAGTCTTGTATTATCTGAATACCAAAAAATCTTCTGAGATCATTTCAAGTGTAAACTATCATTGTTTTTCAGCCATCATTTACTCAAATGGACTAGTAAAAGGCTGGGAATAGAAATTTTTAATGTTGTATTCAAAAAGACATAATTTGCTTATAGATGGTGTTAATATCTTGCCTCTTACCTGGTCTCTACAACAGTAAGATAGCTGGTCAGCAGTATTTTGATTCCTAAATTATCCTCCTCTCATACGAGTAACACCCTGGCAACGAAGAAGAGTATTTGTAAAGCCACTATTTCGATGTTTCACAGAAATGTGAGAGTTGTAGATCAGACTTGGCTTCGGATTATTGGTTAATGTTGTTAATAATACGGAATAAAAGAGTAGCGTGCGTGTAGTGCAATGGTTAGAGGTAGCCTGCAATACACACGTGGTCGCTGAGTCGATCCTGTGCCAAGACTAAACGAAGTTTTTCATCCAACCGGAGTCGCCAGATTGGTGCCAGATTTGTGATGGCAGGACAGCAGCACTGACTTGGAAAAAGTACATCGTTTAGGGATTGAACAATGTCGAAAGTAATTCTTCGTATTTTTGTTGAGCAAACGCGAGGTGTTATTATTCTTTATTCACGAATAAGCTGACGTTTCGGCGGATTTCGCCTTCCTCAGAGCCGCTTTCTATGAGGTTTCCACTAAAAATTTTATTCGTGAATAAAGAATAATAACACCTCGCGTTTGCTCAACAAAAATACGAAGAAAATTACTTGATCAATGCCGAGGTTAATAGAAAGTCGGTCGTGGGAATGTCGAATGTATTGTTCCTTATTTACTTAAACTAGAAGCTCAATGAAAACGTTATCAAGGTGAATGAGGGAAGATGTAAGCTGTTAGGTCTAGAATATAAAAGAACGTAATCTAATAGGTATCTTTATTTATAAGATCTTATAAACTGATCTTCTTAAGCTGATGCGAGGTTAGTATAGGTGTTCGTTGTTGTTGTCGTTGTTGTCGGTGACCTTGGTCGGTGGTTGACGTTTCGGCGATTTTGCCTTCTTCACAGCCTAGACGTATTTTGTACAAGAATAATCTGATTTTTCGCTGAAAGAAAGATCAAGGTATTAATGAAGATAAAACTTTTAAATAGACGCCATATTGACCAAAGAGGCTGTTGACCGCGCTGTTAAGAGTGGGACTGGTCCACGCGTTGTTCACGTGGGGACGCGAGAGAGACACCTAGGGGTCAAAATATCATTTTCAAATAAGGCGCCCATGTGTAATAGTGAGGCATTCGTCTTTCCGGTTCACCTTTGGATTTCGAAATTTATTCAAAACACTTCAAGAATCTTGCGCGTTGATGTTTTGTATTCCTCCGTTAGGATACGCACAGTCACTTCAAAATCATCGCCATTGTGCTTTTGTGCCCTATGCACACCTGTGCTTTGACGAATTTTAACTTTCCCATCTAGATGTTCTTTTGTGTGGGCACAAAGCGGTCTATCCGTTTCGCCAATATATTCCTCATCGCATGCGTTACATGAAATCAAGTATATTGTGCCTGTACTCATGCAATCCCGTCGCTCCAGTTAGGCCAGATCATACAGTTTTCTGAGCTGCACAATCGGTCATAGAAACGGTTTCGAACTGACGGCGTAGGGTATTGGGTGGGAGGTCAATAGTCGCCACGTAATTTTCAAGACCACTTTTTCTTAAGCACCTCTTGACGGTGTAACTTATTTGATTTGGTATGAAGGATAGTTTAAAAGGGATCTTACTTAGGTGCGAAACATTATTTTGTGGAACTACACTACGTTCTTGTCTAACCCAAGTGGATTCTACTTCGTAGCCATTGGAAATGGTTATTCTTCGTGCCAATTTTAGCTATTCATACCTTTCCTCTTCTCCTGTGCACACATTTTTAGCCGTACGGTACATGTTTTTGATAAGTGCTTTTTTCATGTGTAAAGGATGAGAGGAGAGGTAGTTAACCAGTGTATTTTTATTACTTGGCTTACGACACCATTTTGTTATATAGCCGCTTTCTAAGAGCTTTATTTGGATGTTTAAGAATGCAAGCCAGTTCTCGGTTGGTTTTTCCCGTGTAAATTTGGCTACGAAGTAGAAGTCATTCGGATTAAAAACATAGGGTAGTTCTCTAAAACAATGTTTCGGACGTAAGATCCCTTTTAAGCTGCCCTTCATATCAAATGAAGTAAGTTGCACCATTGAGAGATGCTTAGGAAAAAGTGGTATTGAAAATTATGTAACGATGATGGACCTCCCACCCAATACACTACGCCGTCAGTTGGTTCGAAACCGTCTCTATGATCGCTTGTGCAGCTCGGAAAACTGTATGGTCTGTCCTAACGGGAGAGACGGGGATTGCACGAGTTCAGGTATAATATACTTGATCTCATGTAATGCATGCGGCGAGGAATATATTGGGGAAACGGGTAGACCACTTTGTTTCCGCATAAAAGAACATGTAGATGGGAAAGTTAAAATTCGTCAAAATACTCCTCTAGGTACGCATAGGGCACAAAAGCACAACGGCGATGATTTTGAAGTGACTGTGCGGATCCTTGCGCAGGAATCAAAAACAACGCGCGAACCTCTTGAGGCGTTTTGGATAAGTTTCAAAAACCCAAAGATGAACCGGAAGACGAATGCCTCACTATCACACGTCACCTGGCTCGCTATTTCAAAATGTTTTGTTGACCCCTGGATGAGTCTCGCTCGCTGTCCCACGTGAACAACACACGATCAATCCCAGTTGTAACAGCACGTTGAGTAGCTTTTGACCGATATGGCGTTCATTCATATGATAGATCTTTGTTAAAACCTTGATTTTTTCACCGAATAATTAAACTATTCTTGCACAAAATACGTCGAGACTCTGAAGATGGCGAAATCGCCGAAACGTCAGCCATCGACCAACAACATCACCAACAGCGACAATGACAACGAAGATCTGTGCCAACCTCGCGTCAGCTTGAGAAGATCAGTTTGTAAGATCGTATAGATAAATATATCAACTATCTATGCCGAGATTTATAGAAAGTCAGTCTTTTGAGTTATTAATAGATAACTGATTAAAAACCTGAAGAACATAGGAAACACCGTCATATGCCTTAAATCTGGGGATTATGCTCGCTACCTTCCGTTCTCGATAATCTGAGTAAGATGTTACATAAGGAGGCGCAAGGTTATTGCAGATAGCTAGCGTTCCATACTTTCGAGGTTGGGAAATGGGCATTAGACTTGCCTAGAATCAGCTTGCTTCTGCAAACCACGTGGGAGCGTTCTAGCCTGGCTATACCAGAACTCGAACGAGGATCAGGTCGATCATCATTCAACGACACTGATAAGGAACATGAAGAGATCCTCAAGTAGCTGCCGGATCCACACGCATAAAGGTCGAAGACCTTTTTAAATGGTGTATATGACGGAACGAAGTGCATAAATTATAAAGAGAATGGACTGTATGCATTGTTTTAAATGCGCAGAACGCGTGGAAAATGAGACGTGGTTGGGCGCGAGCGGCACACAAAGTTAGGAGCAGACGCATTTGCGATAAGCTTGATATATTCTTATCATCTTCGTTCATACTCTCCCTTTCACTTATGCAGTTCATCTTTCATTCAGTGCTTCTATTTGTTTTATTCAGTTCTATGAGAAGAAAAGCCTCAGCAATTCACGAACGACTACCTGTTCCGATGTATAAATTGCTTATTTGCGTATGTCGTTGTTAATCAGGTATAATAACGTTGCCTTCTTATATTTCTTATTGAAGTAATCACTTTACAACTGTTACTAGTCTCGGATGGCGAAATCGCTGCCGCAATAGACATCATTCTCCACAAAATACCGAATGTTTTCTATAAATTCTCAACCAAGTTCATAGGTACTTTCTGAACAAACTACTGTATTGCTTTCACATATACGTTCTGTAAAAGCTCTTGTATCGCTTTCACATGAACGTTATGTGTAAGCTATTGTATCCCTTCACAAACTTTCTGTGCAAGTAGTTTATTCGGATTCTACTTACTGAGGAACTTTCCATAATCGTCCTTTGAACATTAACTGTATCTTCCTCTAACAAAACCGCGCCTATCGAAGAAGGTATGTGTGCACTAACACCATGACTCGATTAGTGCGCTACCTTACCTTTCTGGATATAGTCAAGTCACTAATACTGTATTGCTATTATTATTATTATATTATTACAAACGGTTATAACCTAAGTTTGAGAGTGTGCTCTGTGGCAAAGTCAGAAAGTCAGCGTGGTAAATTCGTACAAAGTTGAGCATTCTAGTTTGAGCTAGTGATTATTGGGTGTCCAGGACTGACGCTCGAAGACCTACATTCCACTGACCAATAGAACCGTACTGTTAATAACCCATAAGGCTCTGTGGTCGGCAAATTCACTAAGGTAATATTAGATCTTAGTGATAATCACTCAAAAAGACCCTATAAAAATAGGGAAAATCACTCACAGGTACAAATGCTTTTGATTTGATTGTTTTGGCTTCAAATAGTAGACAATATTCGGTTCAGCGAAAAAACCAATCCAGAATCCGTGTATGGATTGAGTGCTTGTCAATAGTACAGCTCTACACACTCGCTTCACCACATACAGATCCATGGCTTGTGTGAAATGATTCACGTGCACCTGAACGAAACCTAAAGCATCGTCTACAGTAGAGTTCGTAGAGATTACCAAGTGTGTCCGTTGTAAAAACTGTGGAAAGAGCTTGGGGACTGATGTGAGAAAAAAATTGTGGGATACTGTATTTTGACGTCGGTCAAGCAGTCAACAACACCATAGTAATTTCATCTTATCGTAATCCCATCTTGCTGTCTTCATCATTATTATCATTTCTATCGTCACTATTATGAACTAATATGCGACGTTTCTTATTTGGGCCCGTTCAATTACAAAACGAGAAAATCATTCACAAAAGAAAAAGATTCTGCTCACATTTCGTTGCCAGTTGTCATAGCCGGTAAGGAGTTCCTCTATAGCATAAGAAAAACTGGGATCATCGGTGAAAATGTAAAACTCTTTCAGATTCTAAAATAGAACAAATGAAAATTAGAATGACTAGCTGTTTATTACCGATTAATGTAGAGGTAGTGTGGAGCGCAATGCCATAACGTTCCGTTTAAGAGCAGAACCGTACATTTTTAATCTCCGTAGCGGGGTTCGGGTCGACATCTATCCCTCGTGCAACTCATCAGAATCGATCGATAGAAGGAAGTTCCGACCGCTTTTTTGTAGAAGTTCTCTACCGTTTTTTCTTTTGCAATAAAGCATAATTTGATAGTTAATTCATGTCTATTGAACCTTGAAATGTCTCCATGGGAAACCTATAGCAGTCATAAGTAGTTTCTATTGCTATCTCATTCTCCTTCCACTTTGCTTTTATTTAATTTATCTTATTTTATATTGTATTATCTCTTTGTATGTCACAGTTTCTCTACCAAATATACTTTATTGCTCAATCGATTGGAACGAAGAATTTGTCAATACTTACCATATCTATGGCAATCGTACGTGCTGTCATTACGGTACTGTACATGTTCGCATCGTTATCGTCTTTACTCAATTGTAACTTGTTTTCGATGTGTACGCACATAGCCGATTGATTTCGTGTGGATCTGCAAGTATGTCCATAGTCATTGATTGGAACGGTGTCTATGGGACTGTGGGGCGATCCAGTTAGTTGTTTCTAAAAGTATGAAATAATGTAAATAAAATGGTAAGCGACAAAAAGTTCTTCTGGTTGATCAATCTCTAAGGGATGCGCCATGCATTCGACTTAATTAAGCATCGTTGGAGGCCACTTTACGCATATCTCGCCTTTACAATGACTGGCGGTGGCCTGCCAATGTATCGAAGCAGTGCTGCTATCCTCGTAGACAAGTCTGGTACCAGTTTGCCGACCCTGGAGAAATGGAAGACATGGTGATCCATGGTATCGGAGATCGATCCCGTGTGCATTGCAGGCCGCCTTCGACCACTGCTCTACACGCACCTTTTAATGAGAATGACATAAAATGCATCTCGAGCTAATCTTGTCTTTCTACCGCCTATTCTTGAAAAGTTTACAGAAAAGAAAAAGACAAAATGAAAACACCAAAATAAGAATGTGGAAAATTCTGTTTTGATCGCTTAAAATTACATATCCAATAAAACTTCCATCAAAAATGCTCATCTTCCAAAGATAATGAAGAAATCGTTGTTATTTTTCAAATACTGCCTTCCTTCAGACGATGATAAATGTGCTCCAATGCCAAAAGGTGTCCAAGAGCAAAATGTTGAAAAATGGAGCTTCAACAGAGAAAAAGAGGTAAAAGAGAAAAAGGGAGAATCTATTCAAGTGTAAGATATCAAGTAAGAATTCAGTTGCTTACATATTGAATTTTTCAAGCGTACGTTTTCCAAGTTGTTGAATATTCGGAGGAAATTCCAGTAGATGACGAATGTGGTCCTCATTTTTTTGTAGAAACAACGTGTTAGAGGCGTATTGTGAGTTAAATACGAATGGTCCGTTGTGCTTATCGATGAAGCTGAAACTAGAACCATATTCACCTAGAAAGGAAAGGTAGTTTAAAGTCATTTCAAGATTTCTCATCGTAGCTGGGAGGTGTTCCTGGGTGTCGGACTGCGATGTACAGCGGAGGATTCGTCCCCTCGGCAAGGTCTCCCAAGCTGAGAAGGAGTCCGGCGTTCCCATCAAAAAGCCTAGCTAAGAGTAAACAAAAACCAGAATCCACCACCTTTCTGGTATGAAGCTAGTCGCATGGTGGTAAACCTCCTTCTGCTCCAAAAGGGAGACGACTGCCTGTGGTGGTGACGACCCGGGGCAGACTTTAGCCAGGCTGACCTCTAGACTCCAGGGAATCACAATGGCTAAACCAGCAAAACCCCGAATGACGGAAATTATGCTTGGGCCTGCACAACCCATGGAGACGGGCCGTCCAAGTATCCAAGTATACAACTATTTATAGACTGTCTTTTTGTTTCAAAAATGAAAAGAACAAAAAGTAAATCTCCAAACCGAAAAAGTGAATAACATGCCTTGTAAGATTTTCCTTTATGCTCAGTTTATATGGTACGAACATTCGTGAGATATTATCCTGAAACAGACGCTTTATTGTTGTAATTAAGATCTTCTACTACTTTTTGTTTATGGAAGTTTTAATTAGTAAGAATCCGTCGGTCGGTATCCTACATCGGTAACTTACAGTTGAAACCATCATATGCGGCTGAAGTAACGGAAACAGTTGTGATATTTTGAACAATTGCCAATCTGCTAGTCGTGACCGCAACTGCCTCTGCACATAAAACCGTTGGCCGGAACTCTTGGCAATAGCGATGCCGATGCACAACTCGAATAACTGAAATGTCAACTGGTGATGTTCTTCGCGAATGAGAAAAGAAGGCGGTGGGCTTCTTCTATCGTCGTTGTTTTATCCTTCAATTGCATCTTGTTGGTTTTTTCTTCCCCTTTATTACTATATATCCACTACGAGAGCGTGTGTGGCGCAGTGGTTGAAGGCGCCACTGTGACACAGACATAGAATCGATTCCCGCGCCCAAGGACCACCAAGCCTTTCATACCTCCGGGGTTGGCAAATTGGTATCAGACTTGTCTGGAAGGATAGCAGCACTGGCTCGATACATCGGCAGGCCACCGCGAGTCATCGTAAAGGCCAGATATGCATTCAATTACCTCCAACGATACTTAATGAAGTCGAAAGCATGGCGCATCCCTTAGCGATTGGTCAACGCCGAGTGCTTTTCTTCATTTTTATCCACTGCGAGTGAGTAGCGAAGTGATAGTGGTGCCGTTCATTAGCCGGGCAGTTCAATCTAGTCAAGTGCTGGTTCGGCCGCGCATCGGACACACCAGGCTTCCCATCTCTCCGAACCCGGAAAATTGTTACCACGCCTGTCTAGGAACGGCTCATTTTCTCCAATCCACTTAGGACTCCAGCACGCTTATCCCAGCATTCCAGAATTGACTCCATCGGGTTTTAGCGACTATTGTGACGAAGATGGAAAAATTCTCAAAGAGTAGCTAAAGCTAAACACAAAAAAATTTGAAGACCAACATATAGATGGCGTATGCGAGGAAAGGAATCGAATGTGTGAAGTTCTAGAATCCGTTTAGTAGATGTGAAGACAAGTCGTGTAACAAGAAAGTAAAAAAAAATTTAATGATGCTCAAATATTTGCAAAACTGAATTGCAAATCCTGCTGACGAGTGATTGCTGATGGCAAAAGATTGATAGAACTAGCTGAGAGACAGGCGAAAGGAAGGACCCGCATGGTGTGGTGGTGAAATGCGCTGCTCCCCGATAAGGACAACAGCGCGTGTTCGTTCCCCACCGCATACACCTGCGGTACGGAGTTTTGCAAATATCTCAGCATAATTAGAGCTATATTTCGCAATGTATACCCTGCCGTTAAAAAAGAATAGGCAGTAAATAAAACGGTTAAGATTGTGATCAAAAAATTTTTGTCTATTTCAATCGATCCGACTCCACATATTGTGCAGATCCTCAGTAATTGCTGCGCATTCTAGTCGTTTCTTCGTTTCCATCATCCACAAACGTTTTTTTTTTCAGATTTGCGTATTAGTTCGGCTGCTGCTTCAATATTTTGTCTTTTCACGGATTCCACTGAATTTTGTTCGAGTGGTTCCTTCCTGGAATAGTAGACAATTGTCTTAGGGCGTTCTTAGGTTTTTACAACCTGAGTTGTCGCCGGCGTTTGTGGATCAGGGAGAGCTCCTTCTTAGATAGCTTTGGTGGTAGTTTGCCGGCCATGGAAAGCTCGGTTTGACTGGTGAGAATTGAACCAAGACCTAGCGCGTAATGAAAGGCGTCTCCAACCACTGCGCTTCCTTTACCCACTTTCCGATCTTTGAGAACTTATATACCATCCTATTCCTATCCATCCACGTCATTACTTCTTCATCGCACTATAGTTGATTTGTCTATTTTGGTCTATTACATTTCTTAACTTACACTTTCTTGTTTTCCTATTTCGTAGTCAATTCTATGCCTATTTCCTTATTTAAGAGTTGATGCTTGAACAACTTTATCCCGGTTCTTTGCGGAATCACCGAATTTGATGTACGACGTGGCTGTCTGTCGTCCAGTTTCCGTTTCACCCTTCCCTTGGTAATCCGAAATTTTTCCGATATTCCTTAGATTTCGTGATTTATATTGCTTGCTAAGCACTAGTCAATTTACCTGATCACTAAATTTGCTGTGATTCAGGGTGAAAGTGATGAGCTTTTGTCGGCGACCAGCAGATCGTCCAATGAGAACGAGTTTATAGATTAGAATTAAAATAAGCAAGACTAGGAAGATCCACTTGCAAATCAGCCATATTATGCGGAATTGAAAGGGAAGTCGAGAACGATTCACAATTTTAGACGGAATATGCGTCAGTTTTATAAAAGGTCTTCCTTTCGACATCGATCGATTCTTATAGTTCTGAACTAGCACGTACTCTGCGGATGCTGTCATTCCTTCCTGTGTTTTTTGGCTAGTGATCTGGAAAAAAGACGAATACAAGGATTTTTGTCATTTGTCTTTTTGAGCGTCATTTTACTTTTATGCCAGAGTAGCTCATTTTTACAAGGATTAGTTGGTGATCGTCAGCACATTTCCACTTTAGCAATTAACCACTACTGGTTTGGGGAAAGAGGTTTTCCCTTACGTCTCCCGAAAAAAATTACTCGGCATTGCTATCAAGCCGTCATCACCACCGCCAGTTATCGTTGGACGCCATGCTTAGAGGGGAGATTCGCTGTATTGTCACTGGATGAGTCCTACTGAAACGGCTGCGATGCCGTACATGGATTTACTCTTAGTTGGTCTTCCGGATCGAAGTGAACTCGTTCTCCGTTTAGGAGATCTTCTAGCCTCGAAGTGCAAACCAGAAATGTTATTTATTTTACATATTATGGATAGAACTTTAAGTCTGCTGTGTTAAAAATCCCGGTAACCCATTATTTAGCTGAAATATGGATCGCTAGAGTAAGTATTTGTGAAGTGAAATGTGAGTAATAAAAAATAAAAAATGAACCCCAATCTTCTGTTTGCGAAGAAACTTATACGCTGAGAGACCAAGGAAATATAATCGATCAATATATTGAATTTTATTTATTGCCTAGCCTTTTTTATGACAAGGTACGATATGAACAACTATCGGAAGGATCCTGATATATGAGCGAAATTCGGAACCTCAGATAGACTTCGAACCCGTGTCAATGAGAGTGACTAGTGGATGACTGCTGATAGCACTAAGAGAATAAAAATATGGTCGAGAGAAAAGTAAAGTAAGGTCCACGGTTGGTGTGGTGGAGAGCAAGTGAGCACCAACTGAGGTTTTAGTTTCACTCACGACTCACCACCGTTGTGGTTATAGTTCACATCGTTCCCTGCCATGAAAAAAGAAAACGCAGAAAAAGGTCTAGCTTATTACTATAATTTATTTTTATCATCGTTACCATTTATTGAGACTGTTATCGTATATAATGCTGAGATATTTGCAAAACTCTGGACCGCAGATGTATGCGGTGGGGAACCAACTCGCGCTGTTGTCTTTACCGAGGAG